CCTTGGAGATGCTTCCTTCTGGCCTAGCACGGTTATGAATATATTTCTTTAAGACTCCCATGAACCTCTCAAAGGGGAACATATTGTGTAGAAATACAAGACCCAAAACGTTAATCTCTTCACATAGGTGAACTAGGACGTGCGTCATGATGTTGAAGAAGGATGGTGGGAACACCAACTCGAAACTGACAAGACATTGCACCAAATCATTCTCTAACCTTGGTATGATTTCTGGATCGATTACCTTCTGAGAGATTGCATTGAGGAATGCACATAGCTTCACAATGGCTAATCGAACGTTTTTCGGTAGAAGCCCCCTCAATGCAACCGGAAGCAGTTGCGTCATAATCACGTGGCAGTCATGAGACTTTAGGTTCTGAAACTTTTTCACTGCCATGTTTATTATTCCCTTTATATTCGACGAGAAGCCAGACGGTACCTTAATACTGAGCAGGCATTCAAAGAAGATTTCCTTCTCTTCTTTGGTAAGAGCGTAGCTTGCATGACCCTGATGTATGCCGTCTTTTTCGTGCATACGTTGCTGGTCCTCCCGTGCCTCAGGTGTATCTTTTGTCTTCCCATACACGCCCAAGAAGCCAAGCAGGGTCACACAAAGATTCTTCGTCACGTGCATCACGTTGATTGCGGAGCGGACCTCTAGGTCTTTCCAATAGGGCAGGTCCCAAAATATAGATTTCTTCTTCCACATGGGTGCGCGTCCGTCAGCGTCATTCGGAACATGTTGTCCACCAGAACCCTTTCCAAAGACCACCTTCAAATCCTTGACCATATCATGTACATCAGCACCAGTACGGTGGCGAGGCTTCATCCGGTGATCCGCCTCACCTTTGAAATGCTTGCCTTTCTTTCTTACGGGATGCCTGCTCGGAAGAAATCGACGATGTCCCAGGTACACATTCTTCTTACAATTAGCCAAATATATATTGTCGGTATCGTCCAAACAGTGCGTGCATGTGCGGTATCCCTTGTTTGTCTGTCCTGAAAGGTTACTGAGAGCAGGACAATCATTGATGGTCACGAACAGCAACACCTTTAGGTCAAATTCTTCCCCCATGTGCTCATCCCACACACGTACACCTGTTCCATTCCACAGTTGTAAGAGTTCTTCAACTAATGGCCTTAGGTACACATCAATGTCGTTGCCGGGTTGCTTAGGGCCTTGGATGAGCACTGGCATCATAATGAACTTTCGCTTCATGCACAACCAAAGAGGAAGGTTATACAAACATAGAGTCACAGGCCAGGTGCTATGGTTGCTGCTCTGCTCCCCAAAAGGATTAATGCCATCTGCGCTTAGACCAAATCATACGTTCCTTGCGTCATCTGCAAACTTCTTTCCGTACTTTCTTTCAATTTTTCTCCACTGCGACCCGTCAGCGGGTACTCTCAAATTTCCGTATTTCTTATGGTCTTCTCTGTGCCATCGCATCGCCTTGACATGCTCTTTGTTTTGGAACAAACGTTTCAACCGTGGTATTATAGGAGCATACCACATCACCTTGGCAGGAATCTTCTTCCTGGGGCGCTCGCTCTCGACATCACCAGGGTCATCGCGGCTGATCTTATAGCGCAATGCACCGCATATTGGGCAAGTGTTCAAATCCTTGTACTCACCGCGGTAGAGGATGCAATCATTAGGGCATGCATGTATCTTCTGCACCTCTAACCCTAGAGGGCAGACATCCTTCTTTGCTTCGTATGTACTCTCGGGCAATTCGTTGTCCTTTGGAAGCATATTCTTTATCATTAACAACAACTTTTCAAATCCCATGTCAGATACACCATTCTCTGCCTTCCATTGTAGCAATTCCAGTGTGGTGCCCAGCTTTTTCTTGTCACCTACGCAATTCGGGTACAACAATTTTTTGTGATCCTCTAACATGCGCTGCAACTTCTTCTTCTCCAAATCACTTGCGCAGTTTCTCTTTGCATCGGCAATGGCCCGACCTAGATCATCAACGGGCTCATCTGATGCCTCTTCTTCAGCTTCTTCCCGCATTGCCGGCTCAGCTTCTTCCCGCATTACCGGCTCAGCTTCTTTCCTCATTGTTGTATCATCGTATTCAGGGAACCCATGGCCAGGATAGCTGTCGTCGTCCTCTTCTTCTTCATTGTCTTCTATCATAACCCCTCTTTCTCCATGCTTGGTCCAAACATTATAGTGGGGCATGAAACCGGACTCAAACAGGTGGATGTGAATGGTTCTTGCCGTAGAGTAATTGTGACCATTCTTACAGCCAGCACATGGACAAGGCATAAAACCATCCACCCGCTTGTTTGCCTCAGCCGCAAGCAGAAAAGTACGCACGCCATTAATGAACTCGGGAGAGCATCGGTCATCGTACATCCATTGCCGGCTCATCTTCAATACACAGCACCGAAAACACCAAATTAATACAATACATAAAGTTCATACATAAAGATCATACAACACTTAAATGCAACAAACAAATAACTCTCTAGCTAAAGAATTTAAATGCAACAACAAATGCGATCAAGATCGCAACTAAGGTAACAATTGATCCAACAGCATAATGATACCAAGCCTCACTATGAATGACAAATTTTCTAATCTTTCTAATCTTCAAGCGCATTTTCTCCATCTTAATCTTGTGATCATCGACGACATCGGCAACATGCAACTCCAATTCCATCTTCTCCCCCTCAATTCTTTTCAATTTTCCTTCAAATCCTCGTTTTCTCTTTCAACTAAATTTAACCTCTCGACAATAGGGTCGGTTGGAATTTCCGGTTCAACTACCTCCTACATACAAATATCTATGTCAACTTGATGGGCATAATTTGTCATAAACACGAAATGCAATAATTAGTTTTAAAGATAATATACCACATCCGAATCATAACCCGGATGAGGGCCGGCGGGGACGGATATCAAAACCATGGCACTATGTATAACAAACAACGTATGGGTAAGATAATTATACGAGTAACTATATATCCAAATCACACAAACATCAATTTTTTATATAAAACTTCATGAACAAGAGGCTCACCACAAGGTGGTGCCAGCGACGGGACGTTGCGAGCGATCGACGGTGGTTACGACGGAGATTTAGAAGGTACTAAGTAAACAACACCTACATATGCAAACTAAGTGTTATTTTTGACCTCAAATTGCATATAAATCAAATACTAGCACATATATATAATTCCTCCCAAATTACTAAACTCAAAAATCAATCACTATATAAAGCATTGCACGAGCTAATCTAGCAATGAGAGATGAAAGGACAAAGTTGCTAACCTTTGTGATCATTTGAATGGATGGGGGCCTTCAAATCTTGACAAATTTTGGGCAATGTGTGATGAGCTTGAGAGGAAGAGGGAAAAGAATAGAGAGGAGAGGGGAAAAGGAAAGAACAGAGCGAACTCGGGTGGACGAAGGGTCTATGTAGGACGACCTTTAGTACCGGTTCGTGATACGACCCGGTACTAAAGGTGCTGGAGGGGCCCTGGACCGACAACATAATAAATGCTATGCTACTTTGTGTCATGCATGACAATAAATAGAGTACTACATGATACTAATATATGATACTATACATTAGGAAGGTAGTATCATACATTAGTATCATATGCATAATACTACTATATAATACTCCCCATTACAACCAGCCTCAAGGTACTTGTCACGCTATGGGCTATTGGCACGCTAGACGAAACACGATTCACGAGCATGATTTTCAGAGCTCGTCGAGTACGCATTGTTTTGTCGATCGTTTCATCACGGAGATATATCTGCCGAGTAGGCAAGGGCGTGCACAAGCTGAGACAAGCGAGCAGCGATGAACTCCACCGCAGGGCCATTGCAAAAACAAGGTTGACGGGACAACTACCAATCCTCCAGACATGGTGCGGTGGGTGTCATCTGCAGACAACAATGGTTCGGTTCATACTTGGGGTCTTCGGCGATAGCCCTTGGTGGATTATCCAACCCAACACCTTGAAGCTTTAAGTTGTCTGGAGGCAGTGGCGCTGGCTGCAGATCTTTTTGCAGACACATGTGGTCATTGCATTCGATCGCAAGGAAGTTGTTTCGAACATCTCTGAAGGCAGTGGAGGAAAACATGCTCATATCATCAAGGAGATCAAGTTAATGTCCTTGGATTTAAGGTCTTGTTGTTTTGTTTTTGAATGTAGAGTTTCGAATATCAAGGCACATAGCCTCGCTAGATACACGCTTAGCTTTTCATTTGGTCGCCATGTTTGGCTTTTTCCTAAGGCTGGTCATAGTGGGAGTAACTTAGCAAGTAACATAGCGCATTTCAAGACAAGTTTGCTTATGTGGCATATAATTAATGAGAGAGAGGTGTTTGGAGTAATATAATATATTACTGTAACATAACGCAACCCAAAGCAAAATGAGTCTATAATATAATAAATGCTACCATCTATGATACTACTTGTATGTTACTTTGCACTATGAAGGTAGTAACAAAGACTAGTGTCATGCATGTTACTCCCCACTATGACTAGCCTAAGTTGTACTGTATTCCTCACAACATTCTTGAGTAATAAAGCCATCCATGTTTTTCTAAAGACTATTCATTCAATTTTTTTAGCACCAGCTATTGATTCATTAGTTGGACCAAGACCATGCAAAAGTCAAGAGGGGGAAACCAGTGAAGAATGAGAATAAAAACACCATTTGTCTTCTCCAAAGCATACGCTTTGACGATTACACACCACTGACTGACTAATATGAACACAAGGGAAGGGGTTAACAAACAAAACAAAACGATCCTTGAATGCCCGTCGTTGAGAGTGGCTCTTTGTGATTCACGGCACCGCATGGAACTTCGCACCGTCAAATCCAATCCAATCCGGGCGGTTAATTACCAGCAGCAAGTGAACGCCCGTGTAGACCACACGCCTACTTAAACCACCCACCCTTGACCTCCACCAAACCCCACACAATCTCCCACCACCCAGACGAGCTCTCAACCCGCCCGCCCGCCATGGCAACGGTGAGGACCTAATCTCACCTCCTCCTCCTCCTCCTCCTCCTCCTTCTTCTTCTTCTTCTTCTTCTTCTTCTTCTTCTCTGATCCATGATCCGTCCATGGATTCTGGCTCTTCTTGGCAGGAGGGAGCCAAGCACGCGCGGTTCAGCCTGCAGGTGGACATGCAGTGCCGGTGCATGGGCTGCGTCGGCAAGGTCGAGAAGGCCATGGCCGCCATCGGCAGCTTCACGGGTAGGGTACCGACGCATTTGCACACCCTTCAGCCCGACTCCTCTTGTTTGCATTTCCCTGAAAAACCTTTGATTGACGGCGGCACTCGGGGGCATCCGTTTTGCTTGGTTTTCGGTTCGGCAGGGGTTGAGACGTCGGTGGGGGACGTCGACGCTGGGGTCGTGGCCGTGGCGGGGAAGGTGAACCCGGCCGAGCTCTGCCAGTGGCTCAAGAGGAAGACGAGGAAGGATGTCAAGATCGTCTGCCCTCACCCACCGGCAGAGAATCCTAAGCAGGTATGTGTCCCTCTTGTCTACTAGTGATCTAAACGCTCTTATATTTTTTTACGGAGGGAGTACTTTCAGATTTCAGATTGAAGTATCATGTGTACCACCAGTGTTCTGTGTCATATCCAAACGAATGTACTACTTCTGAAGTTTGATATGTTCTGTACTTTGGTTTGTATCATCTGCAAATAGCAAGAAGGAACATTTGTACTGTGTGCTTGCCAGAATGATGATACAGAGACCAAATTGCATGAAAAGTACTCCCTCTGTAAAGAAATATAATACTGTTTAGATCACTAAAGTTTCTTATGTTTCTTTACGGAGGGAGTAGAAACCAGAGAACTGATTGGTCTAGAACCGTTGTAAAAGAAGAGATACATCTACATGTCCAAACAGTGATTTTAATTGAAAGATTTTACAAGTTCAGCGAGTGACCTGTTTCCAGTTTCCGCAATTACCTCCACAACTCAGACTAAACCCACTACTTGTTTGCAGAAAATGATATTGGTTCTGGGAAGCAGTTCAGGAACTGGGGACACGACACCTTCAGCTCCACCGCTACCGCAACATTTCTCAAGCGCTCTAGCACCATCAGGAGTTCAGTGTGACCACGAGGACCTGGATCTGATCGAACAGAAGATCAGGGACCTCGAGAGGGCCAGGGATGCGCTGAAGGTCAGGAACCTGAAGAACGAGCTGACTGCAGCCAAGTCTGAGCTGAAACAGTCAAGGGAAGTGATCAGCAACAGTAAGAAGGCTCTGCTAGATAGTGCCCTGAGCCAGCTCGACGCGTTCAAGAAACTAGAGTCACTCACTCAGATCACCATGTGACTGAGCCTATTCAGTCCATGGTTTCGCCATTATGCTCTATAGTATGAGAATGGCCAGTGTAAACATGTTGTTATCAAAACTTTCTTAGAGTTTTCGTGCGTCTCTGAAGCCTGATGTTATTGAATTGCTGTCTGAAGTGACAACAAGGCATGGGGTGTAGATTTTCATGCCAGTACAGCAGTTACCCTGCTGGATGTTTTGGTATATCTGTCACTGCATTTCATTTCATTCACTGAAATATGAACAAGGAACACTGCAGAGTTACCTCTGTTTTAAATTTCAGCAGTGACAGACAAGTGTTCGAACAAGTGATGTCGACACCGATGACTTCCCGATTAAGATAGGACTGCATCAGGGGTCAGCTTTGAGCCCTTATCTTTTTGCATTGGTGATGGATGAGGTCACAAGGGATATACAAGGAGATATCCCATGATGTATGCTCTTTGCGGATGATGTGGTGCTAGTTGATGATAGTCGGACGGGGGTAAATAGGAAGTTAGAGTTATGGAGACAAACCCTAGAATCGAAAGGGTTTAGGCTTAGTAGAACTAAAACTGAGTACATGATGTGCGGTTTCAGTACTACTAGGTGTGAGGAGGAGGAGGTTAGCCTTGATGGCCAGGTGGTACCTCGAAAGGACACCTTTCGGTATTTGGGGTCAATGTTGTAGGAGGATGGGGGTATTGATGAAGATGTGAACCATCGAATCAAAGCCGGATGGATGAAGTGGCGCCAAGCTTCTAGCATTCTTTGTGACAAGAGAGTGCCACAAAAGCTAAAAGGCAAGTTCTACAGGATGGCGGTTCGACCCGCAATGTTTGTATGGCGCGGAGTGTTGGCCGACTAAAAGGCGACATGTTCAACAGTTAGGTGTGGCGGAGATGCGTATGTTGAGATGGATGTGTGGCTACACGAGGAAGGATCGAGTCCGGAATGATGATATACGAGATAGAGTTGGGGTAGCACCAATTGAGGAGAAGCTTGTCCAACATCGTCTGAGATGGTTTGGGCATATTCAGTGCAGGCCTCCAGAAGCTTCAGTGCATAGTGGATGGCTAAAGCATGCGGAGAATGTCAAGAGAGGGCGGGGTAGACCGAATTTGACATGGGAGGAGTCCGTTAAAAGAGACCTGAAGGATTGGAGTATCACCAAAGAGCTAGCTATGGACAGGGGTGCGTGGAAGCTTGCTATCCATGTGCTGGTTGCGAGATCTTATGGGTTTCACCTCTAGCCTACCCCAACTTGTTTGGGACTAAAAGTTTTGTTGTTGTTGTTGTTGTTCACATAGATGACAGGCACCAAGGCAGAATTCAAGATCTTTGATTGACGGTGACACTCGGGGAGATCCATTTGCCTAGTTTTTAGTTTGACAGGAGTCGAAATGTCGGTGCGAGGTGCCGATGGAGGGGTCATGGCAGCCGTGGAAAAGGTGAACCCGGCGGAGCTCTGCCAGTGGTAGAAGGGGAAGATAAGGAAGGACGTCAAGATCGCCCGCCCTTCCCCACCATCTGAGAATCATAAGCAGGTATGTGTCCCTCTTGTCTACTACCTTCAGATTGAAGGGCACTTCTAAATTTTGATATGTGCTTTATTAACCACTGTGAATAGCAAGAAGGATCATGTAAAATTGCATGAGAATACCAGAATGAGAACACAAACACCAAAATCGCATGAACCATGCAAAGGAACAGATAAAGCTACCGGCCCAAACACTGAATTTGGTTTACAGTTTTTAGAAGTTCAGAGAGTGACTTGCTTCGTATTTCCACAACTCGGACTAAACCACTACAGTACTTGTTTGCAGAAAATGATATTGGTTCTGGGAAGCCGTTCAAGAGCCAGGGACACGATGCCGTCAGCTCCACCATTACCGCAACATTTCTCCAGCGCTCTAGCACCATTAGGAGTTCACTCTGACCACCATGATCTGCACCTGATCGAGTAGAAGATCAGGGACCTCGAGAAAGCCAGGGACAGGTTGAAGATCAGGAACCTGAAGAATGAGCTGACTGCAGCCAGGTCCGAGCTTAAACAGTAAAGGGCAGTGATCAGCAATAGTAAGAGGCTCTGCTAGATAGTGCTCTTAGCCAGCTCGATGCGTACAAGAAACTAGAATCACTCACTCAGGTCATTATGTGACTGAGCCTATTCAGTTTCATGGTCTCGCTATTGGACCATACAACATGGTCCGTGTAGACTTTGTCATGTCATTACCTAGCATGAAAATTAAACCTTTCATTCAGAAGCCTGATGCATCGTGTGAAGTGCCAACAAGCTGTGAAGTGTAAATTTCCATGCCACTATAGCAGTGATCCTGCTTGATCCTTTGGTGTATTTCTCACTGCATTTTATTCGTGCTTTAGTGTAAATCTCGCTACTGCATTTTAGTGAAATGTGATTCAGGAACCACGCAGGATAAGATAACATCTGTTCAGAAATGGCTATTTAGACAGAACACATGAGTTAATTTTCAGCTGTGACCTTGCAACACAGCAAACTACATGTATCATGTGCCTCTATAGATGCTCAATTGTTCATGCTCAGCCACATTAATATGTGTATTAAACTAGTTGAGAGCTGAGAACTAGAACAGTTCATGCTTAACACTTTATTGAGACCTGAGAACTAGAATAGTTCAGTGGCATGAGGCAACATCGAAGTAGCATGTTAACACTTTATTTTGTTGCCCCTTACACATTTGCAAAGCAACACATAGTAGTATGGCGCAAAGGCAGATAATTGAAGGAACGCACAGAACACTGATGTCTGTCTGTCAGACATGCCACCTATGTTCGCCATTATCGTCGAGTCGGAGGTAGATGCTATTATAATAACAGCATGTTCGGTGTAAACCTTGTTGTTAGCTAGTATGCAAATCAAAACATTCTTGAGGTTTTCGTGCATCTGAGATGCCTTGTCTGAAGTGACAACAAAATATGGGGTATAAATTTCCATGCCACTACAGCAGTGATCCTGCTCCATCTTTTTGTTCATTTGTTACTGCATTTCATTTCTTTTTACTGAAAAGTGATGCAGAAACATTGCAGAGTTTCCTCTGTTTAGGTAGTAAAAAGTTAAGATTCAGCAATGATCTTCCAGAAAATCAAACTAAATGTATCATTTTCCTCCGTAGATGTTCACTGGTTCAGCCTTAATAACATGAGTATCAAATTATCTGGGAGCTGAGACTAGGATAGTGAGACAACATTGAACAGCATGTTACAATCAGAGCACTAAAATTTCTGCACTTTTTTACTAGCCTCCTGCACATGGCAAATCAACGCACACACATAAACAAATGACAGGCACGGAGGCAGAGAGTTGAAGGAACGCACTGATGCTCGTCAGACATGCCGCCTATGGTCGCCGTCGTCGTCGACGTGGAGGTTGACGCCGTGGCTGCGGAGCGCGTTCAGGATGGCCCAGACCTTGGTGCGGTTCTTGAAGCCCTTCTTCTCGACCTCCTTGGCGGCGTCGGCGTGGATGGGCTCGCTGGCCAGGCCGTCCACCCGGAGGCGCATGGCGAGCACCTCGCCGACGGCAGCGGCCGCCTTGGCGTTGCAGGCGCGGCCGCACTCCAGCCCGTCCAGGAGGGGCTTCTCGACGGTGGACGCGGTGACCACGACGCGGCCGCTCTGCCGGTCCACCACGTTGGCCGTCACGTACTTGAGCGAGATGAAGAGGCGCAGCACGTACCGCTTGGCCTGCGACATGGGACCCGGTCCGCCGCCGCGAGGGCGAGAGCAGCCGAGGACGCGTGGAGGCGGTCGAACGCCTCTGCGGCGTTTCGACGAGCAGCTGGTGGGCGGCCGGCGCGACCGGGCGAATGATGCTGTGGTGGGACGCGGAAGGACGGCGAGACAGGGCGGGGAGGAGCGCCGGTGGGCGAGGCCGGATGAAGATCGACGCTGAAGGAGGAGGAGGAGGAGGAGGAGGGAGGCGGGGGCGGGCCGGAGCGACGTCGACCCGCGCGGTGCAGGAGAGGGCGAACGGCACTGCAGTTTCTGAGCGAGGCGGTGTGAGTGTCCGGTTGCTTATTATTCGATTGTCAAGGTGAGAAGAAAAGGGGGTGTGAACCACACCCGTTCCATATCACTAACAAGGGGTGAGAAAGTACAATAGTCGTCTCGACAGTGCATTAGGCCTTGTTTGCTAGAGGAGGTTTGCAGAGGTTCAAAATCCTCAAAAATCCTTGTCAGCCCATTTGATACGTAGGGATTGAGCAGGCCAATCTTTTCCGATCTCCACGAATCCTTCTCAATCCATGTGATATAGAAAACACCCCAAGACACCCAGGGAACTGGACGTTTGCTATGCTGCTACTGTTGTAGGAGGTTTAACCAAATAGATGGATTTATGAGAGGGAGGAATTAGTGGGGAATTGAGGGGATTGGGTGAAAGAGAGGGATTAACCAAATCCACTCAGACCCCCCTCCACTCCGGGGCTGCAAAACCTCCCTTGTCAAACGAGGCCTTAGTGTTACACGAAAGATCTCGTTTAGCCTCCGAGGTAGAATAATGTGAATTTGGACAGGTGTAGTCCTGAGTTCACTTAGCTGATAAAAAAATGTTATCAATCAGTTAGGCTTAATTAATTGTCTTCCAGACACACCTTCAAATATATAAAGAATTTTAGATAAGGTAGTTGAACGAAGACTATATTGTTGGTTTACAATGTAAATGATTTCAATGACCAGAAAATTTCACTTTTCTTTCTTTCTTTTCATTTCCTAGATGAGAAGGCAAGGATTACTTGAGCAGTATGAGAAAACAAGTATTGTTCTCTCAGAAGTTAGAAGTTTCCATTTGATATTTTGGTATTACTCCCTTCGTTCCTAAATATTTGTCTTTCTATAGATTTCAACAAGTGACTACATACGAAACAAAACGAATGAATCTACACTCTAAAATATGTCTATATACATTCATATGTTGCTGTTCATTTGAAATGTCTAGAAAGACAAATATTTGGAAAAGAAGGGAGTATAATTCTTTAAAA